GTCTCTCTCTCTCTCTCTCTCTCTCTCTCTCTCTCTCTCCCTCTCTCTCTCATTCTCTCGAAAGTCGAAAACTCATATTAAACATACTTGAAACGAGAGAGGAAGTTTTGTCTTAACAGTAACAGTTTGAAAAGAAGCGCTTTCCTAGGATTCTCGCTTCTATCTTTGCCAGAAGATCAGATATGGTGTACAGGGTTGTGTACCTGGGTTTTTTTTTTTAGTAAACAGTACACTACATGGGCGAGTTGGGTTTACTTGTGAACGTTAGACTGGGGGAATGCTCAGCTTGTGTTACTGTTCCAATGTCGCAATTTAACACAAGTAGTACGTTCCCAATTCGGGGCTCTCTGTGAATTTAATGTCCAATGGTATCCCTGCACCACTCTTGACTTCAATTTTTATTTTGAATGCGCACCCAACTAACACTTTACGCTTCAATAAAACCTAGTAACCGTCAACTGAAAGCTTTGTCAGTTTGTCCTGGCCTCTCCTTACCCCGGGACTCGACAAGGGTCCTTTTCTTTGCCAAGAATAGAAAAAGAAAATAAAAGGCTTGAAAACCTACCACGCTTCATTTGGCACTTATGGTGACTAAAGGTTGCAATATAATATCGAAGGTTGCTATCGTACTGGTACGCACCGCGACGCCCTCTGTACCCCACTTGTTTTCCGTCCCGACAGTCAGACACTCGTTATTTCCTCGGCTCGTGGGACTCGCTCTGGGAGTTACAAATCCCTATTTGATAGATTTTGTTATGGATTTTTAAAGCAATAAGCCCAGGAGGAAGGCAGGGGGGTCTTTGAAGTTTGTCTGCGTCTGATGGCTTGTCGGGGGAAGTAGGTGGAGATTGTGGTGACGATTGAATGTCGATCAACGTGCTCTTTTATGTGTTTGAGGGTTCATTAATAAGCGTTATACATCTATAACTGTGTGTATGTATGTGTTTGTCTGTGTGTATGTGTGTTTGTGTGTGTGTGCGCGCGTGTGTGCATGTTTGCGTGCCTGTGTGTGTGCACGCATGTGTGATTGTGTATGTGTGTATATGAGTGTGTGTGTGTGTGTGTGTGTGTGTGTGTGTGTGTGTGTGTGTGTGTGTGTGTGTGCATGTAATCGTGTGCTTATTTGTGCTCACACTATTAGTTTCTGTGAGAGTGTTTATGTGTGTCTGCGTATATTTCGTGTATGGCATGTTTGCATGTTTGCCTGTGTGTATAATACAAGAAATAAATCATACATGTGTGTGTTTATGTGCATATGTGTTTGTGCGTGTGTGTGTGTGTGTAGTCGCCAAAGAAAAAGTCCAAAGATATATTCAGTAATGCCCCAACTTGGAAATACAAGAACATATAGGTCCCTATTGTTTGTAACATTTTGGATCAGCCTTTGTTCGGTGCCCAGCTCTACGACACTCCAAAGTCTAAATTAAAACTTTTAGTGACAGTAGTTTGCAGCGTTGCATTCCCGTCGGCTGAAATCTAACATGACAAGACAGTAACTTCTTGGGCTCTCTATTCAAATTTACCTTTTCAGTCCCTCGAAAAATAAAGAGAATAGCAGCCTGATGTGAGCTCAAGTGCTGACAGTCATAATGTTTCTGTCATTGATTATTGCCAAGTATCAGTGTACGCTGGGTGAATCGGGGAAAATAAGTTGCAGTTTTGTTCTTGAGTTCACAATGTCCAAAACATTGGAGGGATCCGGAATTGCGTCTGTGATCTTGAGATTGCAAGTCCGAGGCGAAATAAACTCTCGGCTAAGACGCCCACCAAAGGTTTACGTACACTCTAGTCCACTTGACGTGGACATAATCGTGACACATAAATAAACGCTTTTTTCCTTTGTCCGTGGTCTGTTTCGTTCGGACACTGCTGTGTCATTATCCCTGAAGTTTAAACACCTCACTAATTGCACTTAGGTTGGTCTTACAGACCACGACCGGACCCACTTTCTGTTGTGTTGCAGTAAATTACAGTCAAATAGGAACCGAGGCAGCTAAGATCCCAGCTGATTGTCTTTGGGGATTATTTAGAGCGCTGTGTCTACTGTGTCAGTCCTAAGGTACACCTGATCTCCTTGCCTCGGATCTCGGCGTCCGTCTGTCCTGGAATAGGGTTAGGTCAGGATTATAAGGGGGGGGGGGATCTTTAGAGATACTGTGTCGTTAAATAAGAGTAGGTACGTGTCTGTAAGTCAAAGTATAAATACACCATTTGCCAATTTTC